CTTTCACGGTCCCTGGATATGACTGTTTTCGCCGAGATCGTCCGCCAGATGAAAACAGGTCAGCTACCGATGCCACCCATGCATATGGCGGCGTCTGTATCGTGGTACGGTCTGGGATGTTTCCAAAGGTCACCCATCGATCTGACCTCAGTATCCCTCTCCTGGAAGCCACATGGGTGGAAATAGCCCTGTCATCTGCTAACATACATTTCCCAGAGGCGCCTCATGTGAAGAAGTTGGTTATTGGTGCAGTATATCGACCCCCAGCCCTTACTCCATCAAGTATCAACACCTTCTGCAATTCCCTCCAGCACTGTCTAAGTACTCTTAAGAACCGAACAACATCTATCATGTTGATGGGAGACTTTAATGCTAAGTCATGTCATTGGCATGGAACTACCACGGATGCCGCTGGTCGCCAGCTTCACAGTCTATTCGGCATGTTCTCTCTCACGCAGCTCGTAAATTTTCCAACACATGAGTCATTGTCTGGCATGGGGGCAGCTCTCGACCTAGTTGTCACTGATATACCGGACTCTATATCCTGCCTCCGTGCTACAGCACCACTTGGTCAATCCGATCATTCTATCGTGGTTGGCCACATCCGTACTGTACCCTGCCCAGAAATGCCCACATACCGTTCTCGTGATGCCCGTTCGACTCCCCTGGATGTCCCTGATTTTAGTGTATTTTCTTTGGATTCTCTAGACAGCAACACTGTCGCGAGTATGAATACTGCCATGTCCCACATACATTGGCCAGCAGCTTTGAGCCTGGAGAGGCGCGACCCTGACATATCTGTGGACAACTTTTACTCTATCTTCCATAACATCTGTGCAAGATTTCTGCCCAGGCAGAAGCCGCCGGCTGTCAAGCGTATCCATATGAACCCCCCCTGGCTGACCAGTACCCTCCGACATCAAATAAAGAAAAAACGAGATTCGTATAGTGTTTACCGAAAGTTTCCCTCGGCTGACAACTTCGCTATTTACAGACGAGAGCGAAACGTTACTCGCAATATGTCTCGAACTGCCCATCGACTGTACATCTCATCCCTAAGTGCATCCACGGCAAGACCCGCATCACCAAGTTTATTCCAGTTTGTCCGGAAGCTTCGATCTCCCCAAGGCAACAGCAGAACGACTGTAACTCAGCTCTCAGTCGCTGGTACTCTATATTCTGACCCTGTGGATGTGGCAGATGCTTTGAACGAACAGTTTATTGGTTTTGGAACACAAGATGATCCTTCATGGAATGTGCCAGACTTCAAGCCACCCGACGCCCCATCACGTGGAAGAACTACACCTACGTTGCAAGATGTCACCACCACGCCTTCTGCTGTGGCAAAGCAAATCCGCAACCTTAAGACCCGAAAGGCTGCGGGAGCGGACGGTATTTCTCATGAACTCCTGAAACTATTTTGTTCCAGTATTGCATACCCTCTCAGCCTCATCTTTAACCTCACTTTTGCAACTGGTGCTTTCCCTGCTATTTGGAAACACGCAATTGTAACTCCGGTCTTTAAGAACAAGGGAAGTAAGCTCGATGCATCGAATTACCGCCCGATTTCGTTATTGTCAACAATCTCCAAGCTGTGTGAACGTATTATGTACAACCACTTATACACTTACCTGTCTCCTGTTCTACATCCGTCCCAGTCTGGATTCCGGAAAGGCGACTCTACGTCCTGGCAGCTTCTCAGACTTGTTCAATCGATGTCTTCTGTTCGTGAGAACGGCCATTACAGCATGCTATGTTTCTTTGATCTAAGCAAGGCCTTCGACACCGTATGGACACGCGGGCTCCTATACAAGCTGTCGCGCCATGGAATCCATGGTACTTGCTTCACGTGGCTCAGTACTTACCTGACGGGCAGACAGCAAAGGGTGCGTGTCGGCTCTGCTCTGTCTGCCAAAGGGCATGTACGGTCTGGAGTTCCTCAGGGATCAATCCTGGGGCCTCTCCTCTTCCTTATGTATGTAAACGATCTGGCAGAAATGGATCACACATCACTATATGCTGATGATACAGCACTACTTGTGACAGCACCCACTCTCCCCGAGGCTAGTGCCAAGTTACAGTCTAACATAGATGGCGTTATTCATTGGATGGAAAAATGGAACTTGCAACCCAACTCTTCGAAAACTGCTGTAATGTGTATCCCCCCCAGTTGTTCCTGTGACCTATCTTCATTAGTAACCAGTCCCTTCACCTTTCCAGGCACCACAACCCCGCTCTGCATCGTTGAAAAACACAAGCATCTTGGCGTCATTATTGACCAACACTTAACCTGGAAATCCCAGATCGAAAATTTAGACAGCCGTGTTAGCTCAGTAATGGGATTTCTCTCATCACACATCACCCACCTGCACACCGACTGTCGCCATGTTATCTACACATCTTACATTCTGCCTATTTTTGATTACTGCTGCATAATTTGGGCTGGCATTTCTAAAACACTGATTGCTCGACTCGAAGTTATGCATAGGCGTCTTTTGAAAATATTATTTCGGCTTCCTCGCCTGACTCCAAGCGCAGACTTATACCGCCTTGCTTCTGCTGTGCCGCTCTCGGTCCGCGTGCGTTTTTTGGCATGCCAGACAATTCATAAAATTAAGCTGGGCATTGCTCCTCTTCATGCTCTCTCCTGCCTAAGCTGGTTTGCTCAATCTCAAGACATGCGCACCAGAAACTCTCTCCGCTTCCCTATTGCGCGGTCTGCCTCTATGCAAACATCTCCTCTCTTCCTTGCTTACCGCCATTGGTCTCTCCTCCCACAACATCTAAAATCCTGCCAATGTTACAATACATTCACACAGCTACTGCAGAATGCAACATACTAGTTGATATCCAGCCCTGCCCTAGCTTCTTTTGCTTTTCAGTTCCCCTTTCATTCTTTTTCTTCCCCCCCCTCTAGCTGTATTACCGCCATGGCTGGCTATCGCCCACATCACCATTTCATTGGCTAGTGCCACGTGATTGTGAATAAATAATAATAATAACGTCAAGCGCTCATTATCTGGAGCTGTATTTCATGTGTTTGAAAGAGGGGACATGCTTTTTTCAAAACCTTTCCCACCTGTAAGTACATGCACATGAAACCTAGTGGCACGGAAATAAAGGTAACATAACGGAGATCCATATTTCATGATTCCTTCTCCATCGTTGTCAGATGGTGCTGATTTTCGTGTTTGGCAAAACTCATTATAATTATAGCGATAGTGACACACCTCCTCGCGCTGAAATGCCGTGTCTGTGAAAAGGTAATCAATACTAATAAAAATGTCGATACATCTTGTTCTTCTGACACGCAGAACTCACTGGCTTGTCTGTTTGAGCACTCCAGCAAGTTAGATTCAGGCCTAATATAAATCTGGGTTTGGAACCATTATTGTCAATGTCATTGATATCAAATTCGGCCTCATCGTCTGTGTGATGCTCTAATCGATGTGTTCTTGAATCATTTCTTTATATTATGTGCGAGTATATACCCGGTATCCTCATTATTTTTTCGACTCTCGAAACAAATTCCGTCTCTTCACCTAACCTACGTGCAGGCTCGCACGCTCATAATTATGGTGAAGTGGTATGCTGAAGTGGTCGCGCTGAAATGCCTCGCGCTGTAGTGCACGCGCTGTCGCGGGATGGAATCGTAGTTGTTCACGACTTGTGTGTGAACAACTGACAACAGGGGTGTGAACTATCTGTCATGTGGTTCCACCAGCTGCATCATCTGGCTGCTCAAATCTACATGTAGTTCTAGACTTGGAAAAAGTTGAGTTCCAGACCTGCCGTCAACGTTGCGTATATCTGCCATTAGACACGATCCAGGTATGCGTAAATGCTAGCAACATTACATCGCTGCAACACTACACGAAAATCTAAAATGTTCATGTGCAATGTGCGGACAGCCAACTACGTCGTCAATATACAGGCTCATCAGGTGATCTGAGTGGAGTGTACTCAGTGGAGTGAGCTAAGGATCATGAACATCTTACGAGAGTATAATTATACTTATCACTCTCTTATTATTGACCGCCACAGAAACTTGTGATCTCTAAGCGGTCAAATATCAGCATATATTGACCGCTTATATTGACCACTTATTATTGACCACTTTAGCCCGAGGACTTAGAACTTTTTCCTCAACTTAGAAAAAAATCAGAACTGAAAGAAGAAAAATCTGAAGCCAAATGCTGGGATTTGAACCCAAACTGTCAGATTCTCAGTCAAAGAACTTGGGGAACATACTACAAGAGACAACTGAAAACTTCGGTTTACACAGCAGTAATGTCCAATGTAAACGGCATATGTACATACTATTAATAGTATTATACTATTACAATAGTATTCCTTTCTTCCTATAACAAAGCAAAAACAGTTTTAGGTATGCTATGTCGTGATAAATCTATTATTGCCCTCATAATCGGCCAATATATGAAATATAGACCTCGTAAAAGACCTCGGGGGACCTCGGTCTTTTACTCGTTCTATATTTCATATATTGACCTCTTTAATCGTGCAATAATAGATACATATGGACTTCCCTGTGGCTAGTGATCTGCCATTCAGAGTTTCGATTCAATCGGGGCACTACTGTTCGCCACAGCAGACTTGCTCGCTGCTGTGACTGTCGCCATGTATGGGTAATCAGCACGAGCGTCCTATTGAGCTACTCGCATCATCCAAGTGATGTATACTACTCCTTTTCATATCGAATATATACTCAAGTACACCAGTAGTGCTGGACAACTTTCAAACTCCTTCTGTACTAATAGTACTATCTCTATACTATAGGAGATTTGTTTGGAATGTGGCTGCCCGCGGCTGCCCGTGCCTCACACAAATCTGTCAGGCAGAAGCTCATTAGACCCAGGGGGGTGTCAGTGACAGATGGAATCCAGTTGCCAACCAGCTGACATGAGCATACACTGTACTCAGGTAGACTTTGACTGGCGTTCGATGTGTTTGGCAAATCGCCCGACGGTTCCTGGACGCCTTGGAAAGAAATGCGTTGCCGGAGAATGAAATTTGGTAAGAACCATGTTTCTGTGACGACTTGCAGCTGCTTGTAACTCGTATTAGCTTTGTTGTATATAGTGCGTACAGAATGGAATGGAGACGCAAAGCCATTGGCGTGCATACGGGTTTTAGAGGTGAGGCATTATTTCCTGGCGGTGCGATTGGACGATTTGTTGGATGCCGCTGAACAACTGACGGGCATAGATTGGGGAGGTGGACAATGCATTTTGCTAACTTACCTATCCTGGTCTCATCAAAAACTATTATGGGCCATATTCCTGTGATGAGATATGCCTCAGGATATGTGACATCACATGAGCATGCGTTCCTGCATGTACATTTATAAATAGGTGAAGGGACAGAATTTGTTTCGAGAATCGAAAAATAATGATGATACCGGTATAAAAATATAAAAAATTCACGGTTCGCGTGAGTCTCGGCTGGAAACCGAGTTATCCGCATCCGTAGGAACGCCACCACCCATCAAGGATCAAGGCGCAGATGTAGCTTCTAAAGCGGTGGGAGGTGAATAGATCAGCTGACCAGAAAGTGGTCAAAGACCAAAAATCCCATTCACTGCATCCATGTTCTTCTCGTGCCAGGCCACGAGTTTCCAATAATTATTATTCTTATTAAAAGCATGTCCGCGTAGGTGGCGGGGGTGCCACTATCGCTTATGCCATTCAGGATTGATGTCTGAAGAGTAATACGATACAATGAAATGACAGAAGTGACGTCAACAAAAGCCGTTAGCAACAACACCAATATGACTAATGGAAAACTTCATCCAAAGTATAGAATATGCATACAACATGTCTGGTCAGTCCTGTTAGGTCGGGCGGGCTCCACGCCATGCCTGTCGGTCCGCTGCCATTGTGCGGACTGCGTCAACATCTAGCGGCTGGTGGTGGGTAAGTCCATGCCATGATAACAGTTCCGTCTGCAAGACCGTTACCAAACCAACTGCCAACTGTGAAGGAGCAGTTGGGGCCAAACGAAAGATATGGCCAGCGCGACTGTAGCGCTGCCTTGTGATCATCTCACGCAACAGCGTACAGCGATCATTTCCGTCCGCCATCATTGAGGAGTGGAATCGCCTTCCTCCAGAGCTCATCACAGCACCACCTACTCTACCTCACCTCCAGCAGTTCAAAGAAGGCGTTCATAAGTATCTGCGATCTGCTGACTGGCATTGGGCCTCTACGCACCTGTGATATCTGTGTGTGTGTGTGTGTGTGTGTGTGTGTGTGTGTGTGTGTGTGTGTGTGTGTGTGTGTGTGTGGCTGTGTGTGTGCATGCATTCGGATGCATGCGTGTGTGTGTGTGTGTGCGTGTGTGTATAGTTTGTATGTGTGTGTATGTGTGTGCGTGTGTTTGTGTGTGTTTGTGTGTATAGTACTTGTATGTGTCACAGTGTGTGTTTGTGTGTGTGTATAGTACGTGTGTGTGTGTAATACTTCCGTGTGTGTGTGCGTGGCTCTGCGTGTGTGTGTGAACGCGCGCGTATGTGTGTGTATGATTTCGGATACCTGCTGCTGGGCGTATGCAGTCATTGTTTGGTGTACCTGAACCTCAACTTTTTTCCTCCCATTGAACAACACTCCGTAACCGTGCTGCCACCCTTATTTCACATTTGCTCTGTAGTGCTCCTGCTCATTTTTCTATTTTCGTATTTTTCTGTTTGGCGCGCATGAGCAGTGCTGAGGCCGAGACCCCTGGTCGGTTTAGCTGCTCTTGCCCCGCCTCCACTGCTTGGGCTGCCATCGCTATGCGCATCTCTGTGCGTTTTTGCCGGCGTTTGCACCAATATGGTTTGTGGTTATCTTGTAAAAAATAAATTAAAAAAATCTCGCTGATGGGGACAGCTCCGCAGCGCTTATACAGAGTGTCATTGCTAATTCGTTTAGGGTACCGCATGTCGATGATGCTCCTTAGCTGGGTCCTGTGGAACGAATCCATTCGCGCGAGCTCCGACATCGGTAGGCCCCAAGATCCGCCGTTGTCGGTAAGGACTGGGATGACGTAGGCGTTGTAGAGCCTCAGCCGAAGACCTTCACTGATCTGGCGCCTCCGGGTTCAGATCTTGAGGAGTGAGTTGAAGGCGGCGGCAGCCAGTTGACGCCTCTGAGCAGCATCTTCGGCGTCACCCAGGAGGGAGCCTAGTTTGCGAACAGTACGCCACGTTTCTTGGTTCCTATCGGGAAATCGGGCGACGGTGGTATGCTCTGTCTTGGAGGGATTAACGTTCAGGTTCCATCTCGCAAGAACTGCTGGAGCTTGTTGTTCAACTTCACTGAGAAACGTCTCATCCCGGCTCACAAAATCAACATCGTCCGCGTATGCGATATCCAGCGGCAAGTCATTGTGCACAGCAGGGCGAGATGGCAGCTCCTGTCTTAGGTCCAGGAGAGCAGCCTCCAGGTAAATGGTGAAAAGCACTGGAGAGAGACTGTCCCAATGAGGGACTCCGATATTTGTCTTGAAGGAGCTTTTCGATGCACCTTTCACACGAGGTTCAAGCCAGGTTTCAGTCAACAGTATACGGATCATTCGGAGCTCACTTTCTTGGAGGAAGGATTCAAGGGTCCTCATCAGGACATCGCGGCGGACAGTGTCAATTCCCAATATGTGGATGGACGTATTGAATCGCTGCGTCATACTGCATAGCCATCTATGGCACCACACCACATCACTTGTGCTGCGGCCACGGCGAAAAGCACTTTGGGATGTAGCCAGGTACTGATCAACCGCTGGCTGTATCCTCTTCAGCACATTTACAATAATATTACCGGTATACTCGCACATACAGTAATTTAAAAAAAAGATTCACGAACACATCGATCAGAGCATCACAGAGACAATGAGGCCAAACTTGATAACAATGACATTGAAAATAATGTTTCCACACCCAGATTTGTGATAGGTCTGAATCTAACTTGCTGGAGTGCTCAAACAGACAAGCCAGTGAGTTCTGCGTGTCAGAAGAACAAGATGTATCGACATTTTTGATTAGTATTGATTACTTTAATTTCATTCATTGGTGCTGGCCGCTTCAATGCGCTTCCCAAATCCGTTCGCACAAGTCATATCCCTAACTCATTTCGCCAGAAACTTAACAAATTCATTCATCTTGGGCACCCTGTAAGAAGACGTTAGGGTCTGTTGGGAATGCCCAAGTAAAATAATACAATACAATACAATACAAAAACCTTTACACAGACACAGGTAGATAACCTGAGTGACGCGCCGAAGACACGTTTACACGAAAATAGCTTGATTTTGATATACGTGTCATACTATACAAAATATGGGTTCACATACATTCAAATGGGACTTCTGTTATAAGGACACTTCGCGAATAAGGACACTTTTCTGATGCCCCGCCGCCGAATGTCGTTATTCGCGAAGTTTACTGTACATTGTCACAATACCGCCCTGGAAGTAGTTTGTCCTACTACTAGGATCTAGACTCTGAGTGTCACATCTTTCCCACATGCTCATACTATACATGTATGACAATAAGTTCAGGCATTCACGGTTCGCGGTCACGTGACGGCAATACATAATGAATGTTACTAATTACTTTTGAATGTTTCTATTTTTCGATTTACTCGCTGTACAGCGTGCTGGCTCATGGTAGCATGTATCTGGTTGGAGAACCAAGCTGTGGAAGGTAATAACTTATTCATTCATTTTATTCTTTTACTATTAATCACAAAACCCAGCTGGTAATTTGAACACTCGGCGAGGTGACAAAGGTTTAAGAATGGCAAGAAACAGAATCAGCTGAAGTTTCATATTACGACGGCTCTATTGATAATGTAACAAACGGATTCTGGAGAAAGTGGTGGTAGACAAAGAAATAACTATGAAGGATATGGAATATGAAGAACAAAAATAGGAACGATGAAAAATGCATCGAACTAGCTTTCACACAACGATCATCAGGAAGCATCGCTCTACTAATTAACATACAACACATGCAACACATACTATTATAAATGATCAGTATAGTGATAAATAACACCTAACCAACGCCCAAATAAGTAACACAGTGCATTATTGCAGGATACCATGTGCGTGAAGGATTATTATTATTATTATTGCATCATACCCAACCACGGCCAAATCAACAAAAGAAAAGTTGTAGACATACATGTATAAGAAAGAAGATGAAAAGTTTTTGGCAAGTCTTGAGGTCTTGTGACATCAATGACCAATGTGTATAATTATGCCCAAAAAAGACGGGACATCAGAAGAGTGGTTGTACGAGAGTTAGGGAAGCAGAGAGAGTTTTGGGTAGCTGAGGACTTATGAAATAAGTTGAGCTTGAATAAAACATGAGGTGGGGCAAGACCAAGACGAATTTTATGAATAAGTTTACATGACGAAAGTCTGAGCCTGTTAGAGAGAGGGCAGCTGGATGCGATAGCATAGACAGTAGAGAGGGCGTTTTTTTGTTTTTTGTTTTTTGTTTTGTTTTTTACTAAGGCCACAGCTTCCAATCATGACATGCAAAGCAGCGGTGCAGCATCGCATCGAACGGGGAATTGCAAAGACAGCGCGAATTAAACGACGATGTGTGACATCGAGACGATTCGTGAGCGATGTCCTGATGCCAGCCCAAATGGAGGAACAGTAGTCAAATACAGGCAGAACATAGCATTTATACAGCATTAAACGTCGATCACGGGGGAAATGAGATAAGTGAGAGGAGAGGAAGCCAACAATAGTACTTGCACGTTTCTCCAGGTACGTAATGTGGGGATCAAAGGACAGATGCTGATCCAGGATAATCCCAAGGGGTTTGTGCTGATCGACTATTGAGAGACAGGTACGGCCATCAGGGAACGTAAAAGGCGAGGGACTTAATACAGACAAGTCACTATTGGGACGAGAAGGGAAGCAGAGAATAGCTGGTGTATATGCAGATGACAATGAAATACTTCCAGGGGACAAAATTCAAGTATGAAACAACGCTAGTGACAAAACGTCTGGCCCGAGAAGACAAGACTAACACAACATTCTACTGATCACCAGTAGATTACTACAAACGTCGAGGTCTCATTCAACAACATTTTGTACAAGGAGACGGACGGTGTCGCTATGGGTTCCCCGTTCGGTCCTGTACTGGCGAATATGTCGGATGGCTTTTGTGAAGGCAAAATGGGTGCATCGATGTGGCCAGATCTCTATGTTCGTTTTGTTCAACACCAAGCATGATAGTGAAGTCTTTCTCGCCATGTTGAATAATCTCCATCCTTCTATACTGTTCACTAGCAAACATGAGCAGTCCAATTAATTGTCATTTCGTGAGGTACTTGTACAACTAATGATACTGAACTAGAACAACGGAAAGATTCTTCAAGAGACAGCAGCGGACCGAACATTAGTGTTGCAAAATATTAATGTTCCATTACGCGCATTTGTGTTATTATTATTATTATTATTATTACTATTACTTGTCGAGAAAACTGACTGTGAAACGGTGACTTCTGTTTATCGAAAACCCACGTTAACTGGACAGTATATCACATTCGACTCTTATTGCTCCTCGCAGTACAAAGTAAACTTAGTTCTGAACCTCGCCGACCGAACCAAGCGCATTTGCTCCCCTAGCAAACATGCGGATGACCTTGAATTTTTCAGCTTGGTGTTTACTAAGAATGGCTAACTTCACCAATACTTTGCACAAGTATTGGTGAACAACTCCAACACCTAAAGAAGTAACAATCGAACCTACTCGATGTGCGGTATTGTTTATGTTTGCCATGGAAAGGAAAGGAGTCAATCAACGTGTGGCGTGAAATCCCCTCAGTTGTAAAACAAAACTTCTATGCAGTAAACTTCAGCCCTGTCTACACAACGATGCGTGCGTTCACGGTGCCGAAGGACGTTCTACCAACCCACCAACTCAGTCATCTTGCATGTTATGTTGAATGCCGGCATTGTGCTAGCTGGTAAGCTGGTAGAACTGTTCTGCACCTGAGCGCACTGATTATAAAACACACAGCACTTCATATTCCACGTCAGCCACCACCGTCGGCCCTGGGATTGCCCTCCGGTTATATTCCTGTGTAGGTAAAACGGTTCCTGAAACTCATTGCCTGAAGCTACCCGGGATAGCCTTCGACAGACAACTGACATTCTTCCAGCAAATTCGACAGTCAACCCGGCGCGCTACACAACGACTGGGCTTCCTGAAGAAGGCCTCAGCAGTGCCTGACCCTGGCTGCTGACTCACGGTCGACAACGGCTTTGTTCGCCCAATGTTAGAATCTTAGAGCATGGCATGCTAATCTGGATAGGTGCTTCTCAGACGGTGCTGGTCCAACTCGATGCTGTACAGCGGAGAGCCCTGCATCTTATCGGCGAAGGCGCATATCTGCCAAACCTCGAACTCCGGGGCAAAAAGAATGATCTCTGCTATCTTTATAAAATCTATTACCTTAGAGGCCCACTGATGCTAACCCGAATGCCCCCCCCCCCCTCCCAAGCCGTACTAGACCACGACCAACATCCTGCCAACACCAGGCAGCAGGCGCACGAGGCGGCCGGCCACCACTACCAGCTGCAGTCTGATATCCCAGCCAATTCACGCAACAACATCCGCCGGTCGTTCCCTGAAGGAGTGTTGGACACCTGGAACCAGTTACCTCGCCAACACCTCCTGGATCAGCCCAACCAGAAAGGATTGCAGTCCTTTAAATGCAGCGTCCACTCGAGCCACTGGTATGGGGCGACCGACCGGCTGTAAGGATTCGGCGTGGTTGTTTGTGGACGCTAATGTGAGAGAATGAGTCCGCGCGCAAGTATTATGTATGAGTATGCGTCTGTGTGCATGCGCACACGGGTGAGTGTGTATGTGTTTGTGTGTGTGTGTGTGTGCCATATACCAAACAAACTTAACATCAATTATCACGGTGTGCGTTTTTCTTTCCTCTTTTCCAACAAAGCTGCAATGCTATGGAATTGTCTGCCGCCTCCTCTTACCTCCATAACCTGCCTTCCCGAATTCAAGCATTCTCTCTATCAGCATTTTCGCCGATATATTTTTTACACTGACGGTATCCCAACTCCCTAATTACCAGATTTTGTATGCCTCGATTAACTTCTCCCTCTACTTAAAGTTGTCATTTCATTCTTCTTGCAGCAGATACCCTCGACAGGCCCAAAGCCTTTGGGAAATCCTTAAGAGAGCATGTCTGAGAAAACCAGAACATATGTGCAAGTCGATCTCTCAGATTTCGCTCAAATTTTGTAGGTAGGTTTGCTTTGGGGTGTAGATCGACATTCCAAAGCCCACGCAAAACCTTTTGAAGGGAACCATGACATTGGCACACCCCTCAATATTGGCTCAATATTGGCACGATTTATGGGTCTACAAAAGAGCCACGGCACAGCGTACAAGAACAAGCTACGAACAAAACTCCATTGAGCCAACATTACCTCACCTTAGAAGAGTTCTTGGGGCAGCACCAATTAGCCACGCCAGCATCCCAGAAGACGAGGGCAATCATCCCTTGACGCCACAAATGATCGTCTTGAAAATAGCCAAATTACAAGCGCTGATAAAACAGCGAGCTACGTCCTCAATTAGCAAACACTATACACCGGCAGATAGTAGAACACCTCTTCTAGCACTGAGGACATGTCCCCCATCATCATTTTTGGGTTTTCTTGAAAAAACAATTTTGAATTTTTCCACTCGACCATTCTGAAATACGTCCGAACTCATACCTGCGCAGGAAAGCTCACCCCTCCGCGACGTCTAGCAATTTCTACTCCAACACCACTCCCAACGCTGCAGAACAAAGTGTAATGTTGACTCTGACAAGGAAAAGCAGCGGTAATCACTTGTCTTTCCAAACGACAAACTTCTCCTTGCGCCACCAACATTTTTCGGTGCAACAGTTGATGCGAAAGTGACTGAATATTTGCGTGTAGTTTTTGGATTTTACTGCAAGAGGAATGATGAAATCAAGTGCTTCGTGACACAAGAATGCCAGGTCTCGTAGATCACGGTTCAGCAGTTGTTCCAAGTCACCTTGATCAAGCTCACCTGCACTTACATGGATCACCCGTAGATCTAGATCGGATCAAGTGCATCTTGATGTCCAGCTCAAGAGCACGCATGTCGTTTTGTAGGCATTCCAGCCGGTACTTTCTCTCAACATGCAGCACACAGACTAGGGCGAGTACTCGGAGTAGGGTCAAATCACGTTGTTCATGACGTAAGAAATCTGCCATGTAGGCGCGCCACATACCCCATCCAACCAGTGACCAAGGTGACTGACTGTGTAGGCCGCGCGCTGGTCAACTGCAAGCGACCTTGATGGCATGGACAACGGTCATTCCTTGCTGTTGCAGATCTACGTGGATCATCAGAATGTAAACTAGCCGTAGTTCCTGTTGAACAATGTTCGGGATGAGCGAAGTTAGTGTGAAAAATGCATCCCTGTTCTTACTGCAAGAGGAAATATCTCAAAGAATTCTCGCAAATGCAATACTGCTAGTGCTATAACGATAGTTGCTGAATGCTCTGAGCAGAGCATGCGAGAAATATATTGCATCTTACCTCCTCCCTCATGGTCCGTTTCGAATAGCGCCTCGGGAACGATCGTGATCATGTGCATTGTGTCGTGCACCAGAAAGCATTATTCTACGTCACGA